CTGATTAAGAAAGAAGCATGTAATTGGCAAACTTGCTTCAGGTGTCTCCAACTTCAGCACAGAGGGATGACACGATTATGCAACTGGTAAGCCAACAGGGCTGAACGCTGATGTGGTGTCTTTATGTGACACATTAGCGGTGGGTAACGCGGCGGTGCCTGGCAGCCATTTTGAGGAGGCTCTGTTAGTTGAGGTTGTTTTCTATCTTCCAGTATCACTGCTTTGAAGTGCTCCATTCTGTCTTATCAGCAGGCTCGAGCCACTCGCCACGAGCGCTGCGTTGCGTATGAGTGTGTGTACCGCATTGCACATAAGTGAGTGAAAAAGTAAATTTATATTTGAGTGTGTGTATCTGCATGCGTGTTAACTGCAACTTAGCGAAAAGTAAGTGTCTTCACAAGTGAGTGCGTGTACGTTTGTGTGTGTGCACTCCAGCCATAGGGGCAGCGCGTTATCGCAGTATGCAGCCCTATTCAATGTCTGTGCTGCTATCCAGCCTAGAAAGCTTTGTGCCCTCCAGATTATCATTTCGCTGTTACCCCTCTGGATCCATCCCTCCCAACTGTTCAGGATGGTGTGTGTGTGTGTGTGTGTGTTGAGGCAAGGAGGCAACTTTTAAGGAAAGTGAAAGAAAGTAATCATCTTGCATATTAACAAGACCATATGAGTGTAATAGACACTTCAGTCTCAGTTCTGTGAAACTCCTGTTTTAATTCAAATCCCTCTCCTGTCGTCTCTCATTCGCTGTCTGCCGCTTTTCTGACAATGTGGGAAACTTGCCAGGGGAAGTTCATTTTCCCTCTCCTCTCTCCTCCCTGCCTTCTACCTTTTGTGTTGTGGATTTACGATCCCTCTGTTTACCGAGTGAGAAGTCAACAAGAGCATTCTCGGCAAAACAGAGCAGAGGCAGAGACAGGCAGTCTTACCCACACAGAAAAACATTGCCACACACACAGTCACGTCACAAACACACACACACACACACGCATGTGTCTGCATGTCAGATGATCATGTGTTAGCATTCCAGGCTGACTGACAGCATCTCTATGGCCCCTCCAGTGTGGTGACAGATAGACAACTTCAGGAACAAGTTTACTGCCAGCCTGCCATTGTCTCACCTTCCCCATGGACTTGCTACAGGTCAGGAAAACAAACAAAATAGAACAGAATAGAATAGAAAAGAAAAGAAAAGAATAGAATAGAATAGTCAACTAAACATTACAAAACAATCATCCTAGTTCTGGAGCGTTTAGTTGTATCACAAGTTATTCTCTGGCAGATGGAATTTAACCAGTAAGTAAGAGTAAAATTACAGCTGATGAGCTATTTATGGTATTGTATCATTATGCTGCTTATACTTGGGTATATCTTACCATAATATTGTTAAAATAAATGATTACAAGCAAATTGTAATAATTAAAACACATGTTCTGACATGCAAGTAGAATGACACCTCCAAACCACAAATGTACAATGTAATGTATTTAGATCAATCCCTGTGGGATCTTAGTCATATCAAAATGTAAATGTTAAATGATGGTTACCACACTCAGAACTATCGTTTCATTTTTCAAATATCCTTGCATCTACATGTAATATTCATATAATTATAATTATTTGCATACATATGATGTGTGATATATTGAGATTCCTATTAATATCATGTGATTGATTTCAAGCATATTGCCCTGTGCAAAATAGAATAGTTAAATCTGCAATAACTTTATTGTAAAAGTGGAGAGCCAATGCAGCAACAATGCATTTCTTATTTTTCTGCAGTAGAATGTGGCGGTTGAAGAGCCATGTTTATCATACAACTACTGGAACGTATGTTATATGATCATCTGTCATGTAGTGCAAAACAATCTTAACTGATATTGTGACCGTATCTTCTCTTTGTGCCACATGCTCGTTCTTGTTGCATCAGTCTCGGCAAAAAGCGCAACGTTTAGGTTAGCTGACATCGTGAAGTTGTCATAGCACATTTACTCAAGGCTTCCTGAGCTTAAACGCAGGAAGATATGTCAGTCCCCATGAGTACAACCTCTAGCCTTTTTCTCTATAAATGTTTCATGAAGCTGTTATGTCATGTTGCTGTACTTCCCTACAGCATCTTTCACAGTATCCTGAGTGATGTCAGTGATGAATTCATCACATTACAAGATCTTTTTTTTTTTCAAATGCCACAATAGAGCAAACAAAGGAGATTAAAAGAAAGATTAAAAGTGTGGCAGAAAGTGATGAGTGAGCGATCAAATCAGGTGGAAAATGTCAAGAGAGAGATAGAGATGCATGAGTAGTGAAGTGCTGTGGCCCTTTGCCTCTGATGCTTGCAGGCTTTTGTGTTACCTCACCTCAAGCTGCCAGCCCCTGTGTTTTCTCCCCCTGTACTCAAATGACAGCAGACATCAACCTCAGACACACACAAAGACACACAGACACACACACACACACACACACACACACCATTACTCTTCTATTGTTATGGCAGAGCCCTTAATGGAGCTTCCCGTTTGAGTGCAGATAGACACACACACACACTCACTCTCTGTTTCGTAAGTACACACACACACGCAGATTGACAGCTAGTCCCTAGGCCACTGCTGCTACGCATGATTGATGGCAATGTTCCGTGGAGAATGCATGAGGCAGGGCGGCAGTGATTCAGGAACGGGGAGCAGCACAGTTTAGGTACGGAAACACTCCATTGAGTTGTGGAGGAAGAGAACAGAACGTACAGGATGAGCGGGATGTTACATGGCTGTCAGTCAACCAGACAGACAGACAGACAGAGAGACAGAGGGAGAGAAAGAAAGAGAGGAGTCCAGCATCTTTAATTAAACTTAAAATCCACAGGAAGGGACAACTTTGGTTCACAGCAAACAATATAAACACCCACTCTATCCTACCACCCACAAGACCACACACTCGTACTACACGTCATCCTCCCACTCACACTGTCCCTTCACCCCCAAAGGAACAAAATTAACATTAAAAAATTACAACATTTACTAAGACAAATTTTTGTACACTCAGACGTCATAGCCAAAAAAAACCCATTGCAGTTACAAATATGTCCAATTATACCAGCCTATACTAGTTATATTCCAACAGTTTTTGGCCTTTCCTGAGCAAAACCTACAGTCCCATTGAGAGACGACAAACTCTATAACCCTTCAATGTCAATGACCAGCATGTAGTACATATTATGGCCCTAGGCACACGTACCCCTTAGACACTGAAAACATAAGTGCCTTTGCTAGTGCCTTTGCTTTCCATTGTTGCTGAAAATCATGGAGTTGAGAATTTTAACATCAGTGCAGACCTAAAACTGCACAAGGCAAACTTCACACCTTTGGTACCCCAACTGGCAGCAAGCGATAGCTGAAGTTTTGAGAGCTTGAAGGACTCCATTACCCAGAAATCATGTAGCATGATGTCGGTTTATTGCACACTCTTCAGAAAAAAATAAATCTTATTCATAGTTGCTGGTCGGCATGAGGCATGTGGAAAATCTTTTTTGGCAAGTTCAGCCGGGTTCAGCTTTCTCTGGACTCAGGAGTATTTAACTATTAGATTTAGGTTTTCAGTGTGTAAAAAATAGCTTCAGCCAATGACTAAACACAGAACCTGAGTCTATGTGGTAAGTGGTATAACATGACATTCTGAGAATTAATTTTTGAGTGGTTTTGTGTTTTAGGAGAGTTGCCTTTGTTTTTATTTCTGTTTGCCTCTCTCTTTGTTTGTGTGCTTGCCTTTATGTGTACTTCAGGAAATCCACATACTATAGGTTTGATTAGCCAGCTGCGTAGGTCTGCAAGCAAAGTGCATTTAGTGTGCTGTGTTGATTTGGCATAAGCACTCTTAGTGTTAGTTGTATCTAGAACCAGGTGCAAAAGTATAAAGTTTAGAAACTATAAAAATAAAGTTTTGAGTTATTCAAACTAAATGTGGAACATCTGCAGGTTCAAACTTAATACCCAGGTTGTGAGTTTGTTTTCTTCAATTACAAATTTCTAAAGATATTGTTAAATATAATTTACATCTTTATTCAAAAATACGTTTAGGGCCTGTTCAGACAAAGCTCTTCCCGGCTCTGTTAAAGAATGTTTCTAAGTGAAGATGTGGCTTTTTCGAAAATTGGCTCCACCTGTACGCAGTATTACACATAATGACTTCCAAATGATTTGAGACCAATAAAATAATTCAAAGGCAAAGTGATGGGAAACTGTAACTAATTATTTCCCTCAACTTTTGATCCTGCAATATTGATTTGTAACACATACAGTTGAAAGCAATGGGAGGTAAGCAGATAGAGTGAGCCACTGTTGTTTACAAGAGGACACCGTAACACTTCACAAACACAGACTCTCTTCCTCTCTCTTACCATCATGTTATCCATTCATTCTTTATTTCTGTCCCCTGAACAGGGTCAATGTGAATAATTGAGCCTTTTTACAATGAAATATTGACAATAAAAGAGTGTGTCATACGCATTTAAGTGGCCTTCCTGCCTCTCATGATGTCATGGTGCCATGAATCATGCAGGACACTGAAAGAATGTTTTTTTACGCCAGGATAGGCAACAAGAACCACTCTTACTGCTCCCATAGGAATGAATGGTAACATTGGGAACATTTGCAGGACAAACCAATTGCTGTTTTGGTGGGAGATTTTGCATTTATACTTATACAGTTTATACAGTTATTGTACCACTTTAGCATGTTGCTCTGTAATAACTTTTGGTGACTTATTTGGAAACATGTCCTGAACCTGGGAGTAACTTGGGGGGAAAAAACCCACAGACATCCGGCATGAGACTACATTGTCAAGGAATGAAACACTAACAATGGGAAGTAATCAGAAACCTGAGCTCCCTGTCAAAGTGAGCTGTGTAAACAAATCCGTTGTCTGTCACTATAATATTATTTACCTTTGTAGGCCATTGCTTACACCACTTGCTTGCTTGATCACAGTTCTTTTCACTCTTTTCTCTTCAGACTATCGCCCACCTCCTATGATGCCACCAATCAGAGGAGGAGGAGGAGGGGGAGGTCCAGTTGGTGGTGGTGGTGGTTCCTCCTCTTCATCTACCAGCCGCACCACCACTACCCGTTCACCGCCCTACTACACCACTCCGCGGCCCCTCCTCACCACCTCCCCTGGCCAGCGCTATCGAACCACCACCACAATTCGCCAGCCTGTCCTGGTTCCTGACGGCGGCTCGTCATCTGACACCAACCAGATTCCCGACACCAACAAGAAAGCTATAGGACGATCCCCTCCAGTGCAAGTCCCTCCAGCAGCCCCACAACCTCCTGCCCTGCCTCCCCAAGACTTCTGCAGTCCAAGGGTGACAGCCGACATATCGTGGCCCCGGACACAGCAAGGCCAGACAGCCAAGCTGCCCTGCCCTGTAGGGACACTGGGTAAGGAAGCAGTACAGTGAATGAGTTAGAGTGTGTGCAAAAGCTTTGTCCAGTGAAGTGTGTCCTATATATTATTATCTTGCGTGTTTGCTCCTTTGTCTCCTCTGTTCTTAGTTTATAAGTTCTTCTTTGCAAAACCGCCAGCAAAATGTTAGAGAATAACCACTGTGACCATGTTAGAAGTGTTTAAGTGGAAGTGATGGAAGCATGTTCAAACCCTTTTCTTTAGTAAAAAGCAAAATATCACAATTAAATACAAAAGTAAAAGCAGCTGAACATAATGTCTCTTTATGATCACAGCCTTAACCTTTCATGTAATTAAAGTATTTTAATGTTGTTGATGGTCTATTTACTACACAGGCTGCCGGCTAGTTATTTTATTATATTAACAGTGCATCACATTTAATGAGCTGTATGTTTGAATTTGAATTTGAATTTATTGAACGGATAGCCCCTCGAGATGGGGTCCTAAAATACACGTGAAACCTTACACTGTAAAGTAATAAGCAATTATTAAATGTAATGTATTTCTACGTTCAAAAACAATGAATGTTGACTAAAGTGCATTACAGAGAACTTCATTCATTTCAATTTATTTAGTTTAATATTAATTTAAATGTCTTTTATTAAAGTGCTTTGATCCAAATGTGTTTTTATATGAGCGGCATAAATAAAATGACTTGACTTGACAATTAAATGCTTAAAATGAAAAGGGGATAAACTTTTCTACCGCAGTGGAAAATGTTCTATCACCCTTTGATTTTGGGACAGGCATTGTGGAATGGAGAGGATTAAGATGTGATGGGTCTGAAGGTGCAACAGGGGCTGTTACATAGTAAAATATATACATTACACATTAAACAGTTCTCTCTGAATATGCAGTGGAGTAGTTGTATAAATTCTCATGACTCACACACACACTTGCTTAGGAGAGATTCTCCTTTTTTAATCAATTAGCAAGTGTGGCAAGGATGATTCTTCCATCTTTCAGCTACCATCCACACACACACACACACCCTGCCCGCACAAACTGTTTAGTGAACCTTGGGCACCTCAAGAGCCTTTGTGTCTCCTGGTGAATGTCAGCGCTGTCTTACCCTGTTTGTTTTGCTTGTCTTGCAGGCGTGGCCACATACGTGTGCATGGCCCATTTGGGCTACTGGGATCCTCAAGGCCCTGACCTCAGCAACTGCACATCGCCCTGGGTCAACCACATCATGCAGAAAGTAAGTCTGAATGCTGCTGCTGGCCTTCGTATCTCCCAGTGAGCCCTAGTTTAAGGGTGTGCGTTATGTATAAAGTCCTGGAGCACTTTCTCACGCATGAAAACTCAGTGACCACAGGGGAAGATTTAGGCCATGTATCCATCTTCATTTGTTAACCCTAACTCATGTTTGAGATCTGAGAGATTTTATATAGCTGTAGGGGAATGGAAATGTACAATAAGGTCATTCACTCACTCTGTGCTCATTATAATAAGCTAACAGGCATCAGGATAGGCTAATTTGCTGCTTTTGCATGGAAAACATTATTATGTTTGATTTGTCAAGATTTAATTATTTTATTCCCCAGTTATCGTAACTTCCTACAATTTTAGTTTATGGCTTTGTCTTTCTCACATGAGCCACAAAGCTTTTTCTTTATAAGACAAAACACAGAGCAAAAATGGTCCCTGTGTAATAGGCATTGCAGCAGAGGTGTTAAATTAGGAGATGTTTCTGTAAAGTATTCTTAAATGTTTTTATGACAACAGTTAAGCTGCTGGAAAAATAACACTGACTTCCTTTCACTGCTTCAAATAACCTAGTCACTCTTGTCCTCTTTATGCTCCTTCATCCCATCCTTGTTCCTGTCTCGCTCATCTCCATTGCTACACATTTACCTCTCTCCCTCCATCTGTCCTTTACCTCTCTGCCCTTCCCCTCCTGTCCTTTCACTTTTCCATCTGTCTTTTGCTGTACTCTTCTCTCTTCTCCCTCCCTCGCTGTCCTCCTCCTCACGCCCTGGCTAACTTTCTCTCCTCTTCCCAACGTTCCCTTCGCTTCTCACCTCAACTGACTTTTTTTAATTATTTTTTTTACTTCCATCCATCTCTCTAATTCGTTCACTTTCTTCCCTCTCTCCGCCCTGCCACCCTGTTTGGCTCCCAGCTCCGTTCGGGCGAGACGGCAGCAATCGTGGCGAGGGAGCTGGCAGAGCAAACCAAAGGGCTTCTGCGTCCTGGCGATGTGCCATCCACGGTGCGGGCCATGGCCCAACTGGTTGAACTGCTGGATGTCCAGCTCAGGAACCTCACCCCTGGGGGCAAGGACAGCGCTGCCCGCAGCCTCACCAAGGTAATGCAGGGACACTTAGGTCAATGTATAGTGAGTGACTGAGTGAGATAAATGATTTTCTTGCAGGCACTGGGATGGGGGAAAGAATGCTTAGTTAAATGACAGAAAATTAAGAGAAAGAGAGATGAGGAAGAGAAAGGAGAGCAGATAGAGGGACTCTTTCAAGTTATCAGTAAGATGAATAGCATCGGAGGTTAGTGTTTTTGTCTTTGGCTCATTCTTCAGGGGTTAGAAAAGTCTCTGTGTGCAGAGTTTGATAAAGAACCATACATAACACTGTAGAGTTCCAAATGATAAATAGCTGCTTTTAGGCATTATTTTATCCTCTTCTGTGTGTGTGTTCGTAACAAGTTTTGCTCAACATTATGGGTGACAGATAACTGCTTTTAGTCTTTGGCAGGGTTCCTCAAGTCTTTTCAAATCAGGGCTGAAATTTAATAAAACTCTGTCTCGCCCTGGGAGTTGTTCTTATTAAAACATACGGTTCTTGAGACGAAAACAGGCTTGGGACACGTTTTACGTCATAGCTCATTGTTTAATGAACTTCAGTCGTTGAGCTACGGCTATGAAGATTCTGTCGACAAGCAGACTTGAGTGCTTATTTCAGGATTACAATGATAGAGACTCGATCCTGGGTATGCAAAGGATCTGTTTTACTACCCCGGTAGACAGGGAAAGAAGTTAGTTCTTTTCATGTAGGCATTCAATTAAAGTGAGTTAAATCATTGGGGAATGGCTGGATGGCTGGCTTGGCTGGCTAATTGTCTGACTGACTGGATGCTGCACTGTTTCTTGATAGTCTCTGTCGAGGTCAATAGTGATGGGCGGGGTTTAGCAGCCAGATTGACAGCTGGTGCCACCTCTTATACAGTCAATGCCTTTTCTTTTTCGGCTTTAACTTTCAAGCCACTGGGTTGGGTTTATATTCCCTCTCCCTTTCTGCCTCCTTTTTTTTTCATTATCACACCCTTTACATCTCCTGTGCTCCCTGTAATTCACTTATACATGTAAAGTGAACACATACTGGAGCATGTGTAAGGGAATCAATTAATCTGTATTTTGCTGTTGACTAAATGGCCTGTTAAAGGTTGAATTAGTAGAAAAAAGTCCCTCATAGAAGAGGAAAAGCATTCCTACTGATTTCAATAATCGCCCAATTACATATGCCTAATTGAGTAATATGCCAGCTTATTATGCAAATTTTTGTTAGGAAATCGAATATGACCAATCACGCACGAGTGGCAGAGTAATTAATGCCATCAATTCAATTGACAGTAGAAGGAGAGAATGAGTAGGAAAAGGGAATGGAGGAACAGCGGAAATTATGGTAAAACTCTGGAAGAATCAAGGAAATGAACAGTAGAAAAAAAAGCAAGAAAGACAGCTATGGGAAAAGGAATACAAATATGAGTGAGTGAGGATAATAACAATATATTTTAAGTCTCAAGCAATGTTAATGAAAAGGGTGTGACTGCCTTTGTGTACCTAAGTGTGTGTGCATGATTGAAAGGTGTTACATCGCTAACAGCTGAATTGTTTGAATTTGCAGCTTCAGAAGAGAGAAAGGTCCTGCAGGTTTTTCACACAGGTATTTCCGCTTCCCGGTAACGTCGATTACTTTGCCACACCATAGTCCCATGTGGTTTTTTCTTTTTTTTTCTTTTTTTCATGCTCAGCATGTAATCTGCAAAGCAAGCTTTTATGTGTATGTATATGTGTGTGTATGTGTGTGCAATCACACATTACAACGTTTTACGTAGAATTCTAATTCTATATTCTGCAGCAGTTGTCTTATGATTTGCATCCCAACCCTTTGAGGAGGACGTTCATTTAACATGTCTATTACAGCGTGTATCAAAATCACATGTTACCATCCCCTAGTGTCTGCTAACAAAGTTTTAGTCTCCTCAAAGGGTTCGCTGACATTCTTTTGTTTTCCTTTATTTATTTATTTTTGCATTCAGAATCAATGGTACTGATAAGAGGCCATGATCAATATCAATAATAGCTCATCTATTTTGCAGTTCTCTCTGCAGAATTGTAAATAGGCCTGCTAGGAACGAAGTGACTCACTATTCATCTCCATTCAATGAAATGTCCTGTATGCTGCCATATCAGAGAGAAAGAACTGAGCATGATGGATATTCTGTTGCATATTGCTTGGTCATGGCCTTAGTGCCTTTAAAATAATACCAGCTTGTGTTTGTGGCTCAGTATTAATTTATTTTTTGTCCTTGTTGGTCTGCTTGTATTGATGTTTGTTCCTGTTGATGCCATGGGGCTCGCCCCGTGAATGGAAAACTAACATCATTTAGGCATGTTTCCGGTCAGTTAAAATCACAATTCAGAACATCAAAGGACCCCACCTTCCTCATCCATGTGCTGTAGACAGACTGCAGAGTCTTTCTTTTTCTCTCTCTGCATCCTCTCTGACACACACACACACACACACACCCTTGATGGGCTAGCTCTTTTTCTCCTGATGTAGGCTTTTTTTCCACTCTCCCCCTGAAAAGTCTTAACGTCAGCACCAGTCAGCAATGTCACATCATAGAACATGGCTTAGGACTATATGCAAGCTGACACACACACACGCACACATGCACGACGTAAATATATAAATATATTTTCAACAATGATCTCATGCCATCACATCAAAACAGTCAGACATTTTGATGTCTCCTTAATCCAATAAATGCTGCAAAGATGCTTTAAAGAGTGGCTGCTTTCAGACAGCTAGTTACAGGTTTAAATCAAAACGTTCCACCACACACCTTGGTTACTGCAGGGGGCTGGTAGTGATCGATTACATAATTAGCCTTAGTAATGTGAAACCAAATTATACCAACAGTCCCTTACTCCGCCAGATAGAAATGTGCGTGATTAGGGATGTGGTGTGGTGCTGCCCTCTCCTCGTTAATTATCTACAGCACTAATTGCCAAGTGAGGAGAGTGGGCAGGAGGTTTGGGTTCTTAATAGAGACAAAAAATAATTGAATTCTCTCTCTCTCTTTCTCTCTCCCTCTCATACTTCATCTCTCCTCCTCTCTCACTTCGTTTGGGGAACTGGGGACTCGTTTCATGTATACTAAATTGGCAATTTATTCATGATGAAGTTGGTGGTGTGGAGAGGCTTTGATGCTGTAGGGTGGATTGATGGAGAGAGGTAGAGTCTGCAAGGTAGACTGAGAAAGAGAGAGGGAGGGAGGGGTGGGAGGAGGTGGGAGGGGTGGATATTAAACAGAAAGAGATTTTACAGAAACAGAAATGGAATGTGAGAAAAAGAGAAAAACAATAAAAGGGGCAGTGAGGAGACAGTGATGCTCAATGACAATGTCTAATTTGCCCTCTATTTATGGATGGCGGGTCAGAACACGGCATGCTGTGAATTTAAAGCCTGATTTAGCTGCAAACTCATCCTGTCAGGGAAGACAAACTCCAACAACAACTGACAGATAAGCCTGCTTCTCTGATGAAAACATTTTCAAAACATGCACTTTCTCAGAGCTCAGCCAAGCGAGTAAAAGAAAAAAATGTCATTCTTTCCTCTTTTCTCCCTTTTCCATACTTCTAACATCCCAGCTCCGTCATTATGTAGTATGCAGTATGTCCTACTGTGCACGAGTGTACACATACTGTACAGCCATGCGCATGTGGTTGTGCCCGTGTTCCTCTTGTGTAGCTCGGAGTAGTATAACAGCCCAGCTCTAGTCTGTCTTGCCGCTGCTGTTTACGCTGGATTACCCCAACGCTTCAAAGCATTTCACTTCTGCCCCATTTACTGGTGCGTGCCTGTGTGTATGTGCATGCACGCTGTGCGCACGTGCACACACATGTACGTGCCTACACATGTGGGTGCCTACCCTGTAATACATAGTCACACACACACACACAAACGACACCCTTATCTGTCTCTGCAGAGTCTCTCCCCTCTTTGAAGACCCCTAAAAAAACCTGTCTCCATTTTAGCCCTCAAGTCCTCATACTTGTGCGGATAGAAATGTCACCAACGGCACCAGAGCTTACAGGCACACCCACCCAGTCCCACACACACACAAACACATGCACACACACAAAAACATGTATATTCCATTTTCTTTGAGTTTCTGATGTGGAGATGTCTGGACCTCAAGGAAATCATACCCCTTCTTCTCCTTACCTATCTCTCTCCCTCTACAGATGCAATCTCAGCGCCGGCGAATTAAATTTCAATGAAAAAATTATATGAAATTGAAAATGCAAGATAATCAAAAGTTCAATAAAAAGCAATGAAAAGTTTAATGAGAGTAGAAAAGGGGGGTTATCTGAAACACATCAAAGTAAGCGCTTGGGAGCAGCACCACCAGCGAATGGAAAGCACTGCCATTGCTGTCATATCTGCCGTGCCTACAGAGCATCCTCTCCTCTGTCTCTCTCTCTCTTTTGCCTGGACTGCTACTGTACAGCAAGTGGAGCAGAATGATGCTCTGCAATGTTTCTCCCAGCCCCTTGTGCACACACTACAACACACACAGACATTTTAATGCCAACACTCATACGAGCACACTCGGATCACATACAGTACTTTACTTGAGTATTTATTTTTCTGACAACTTTTTACTTTTACCCCCTACTTTTTTACACCAATATCTGTATTTTCCACTCTTAACATTTTCAAATCAGGCTTGTTTCTTTAGTTGTAGGGGAATTATTTATTTATTTATATTCTTGCATTATTGCACGCCTTCCTAACATCAAGACAAGTGCATCAGTTAATAATGTGTGTACTTCCTCCACCTCTGACGAGGGCCGCAGGGAATATGAAAGTGTTATATCCACATTACAAACATTTAACAGGACATTCTGGTTTCATACAACGTTTTTAGTTTTGGCCATCATGGCTATCTGTAATAACTGTACTCACCAAGTTAATTGCAGAGATCTGGGAACGTGGCAACATTGCTAATGTCCAACAGGGCAAAAAAAACAGAGGCAGTCAGATTATCATGAAGGTTTTAAACAAATCCCCAGATTAGACAAAGCTGTTTGGAGGAAATGACAAAGTCAACTGTAAAATCTTATTGTCTGCTTGGTACCAGACACTTTCCACTGATTTCCTGGTTCAACCTTTGTTTTACTTACAGTTTTTATGTTCAATGTGGTATTATTACCATAGTTTAAGGTATGCTTCCAAATATAGCAGATAATCTGAGTTCACTGTTGTTTGTTTTAGGGCTTTTAGGGTTTACCTATTAATCTGTCAATTAGTTACAATTCATTGATCCATTTATTTAATAGTGGAACAATTTTAGGGGGCACAATGAGATGTCTTCAAATTGCTTGTTTTATTTGACTGGTATTCAAAAACCCAAATATATGTGATTTACAATGATACAAAACAGCAGCTAGAACCAGCAAACACTTGGTATTATTTCTTGATATATGACTTAAATGACTAAATCTGTGACAGTGTCAACTCTAGGGCTACAACTAATGATTCTTTTCATTGTCAAATTATATTCCAGATCATTCAACTACTCATTTTAAGCCAATGTCATGTTTTATATTATTTGTTTGGATGACCAACAGTACAAAAGACAATATATATTCAGTTTGCTATTACACAAGATAAGGAGAATCAGAAAGTCCTTACATTTGAGAAGCTGGAACCAGAGAATATTTGGTGTTTTTGCTTGAAAAATCACTTAAAGGATTGATTGATTATCAAAATAGTTGGTGATTAATTTTTTTGTAAATCGACTAGTGGATTGTCTGTCACCAAATTGCATTACTTTGGTGTCTATACTGTTATCGTAATTTAAATGATGGACAAAACAACAAAAACACAACCCAAATTCTAATAAACCAGAATTTTCCTTGAAACATTTTTCTGTCACAGTCAATGAAACAACAGAGATAAAGGCAGATTTTCTCAGTGTATGGTTATACGTGTGTGCTTCATATCCACTCCTGCTTATTCTGGTTGTTTGCTGAAGCAGTGGATTAATTAGTTTTTGTTTACATGTAGCCCTCACAAACTCATCCGATATGCATCCCAGCTAATTAGCTGCTAGCTCTAAAAGAGAACATAATATTATCATATTAACTTGTTGGCTAAGCACCCATTTCATGTGTGTGGTATACTGTATCTACATGTGGATACCACCCCCCCAAAAAATAAACAGGTAGGATTAGTTCTAATTCCAGAGGCCAATTGCACGTTTTGTAGCACATGCCATCAACACTCATATGAGTCATCATCTACATTGTTTCTCTATCTAGGACGCTTTCCCTACCCACTGCATACACACACAAACATACACACAAACACTATTTACTTCTCAACAATCTCCGTTGCTGTCTTCCCTCCTCTCTTCTGGTCTCTCATTTCTCCATAACCCTGAGTGAAAGGGCCAGGGAGGGAGTCAAATGGTTGATGTGTGAATGCCAATACACTGATGTCTCTCGCTCTTCCTGCCCTGCCCTTGCAATTCCCCACTGGAGACCCCCTCTTCTTGTATAATGGCACCTGCGTTCCTTTTTCCACTAGCCCATCCACCTTCCTCAAGAGAGAGATGCATTGAAAAAGTGAGAGATATGAGAGGGATGGGAGTGCAAGTTTGTGGAAAGGGTGGTTTACAGTGGGAGCAGGAGAAAGAGAAAATAAAGAGACAGACGGGAGTGTGAGATGTGTGTGTTTGATAGCACCTGTATTCGCTTTTCTGCCTTCCTTGTTCCCAGCGGACGCCTGTCACCATGGACTCACTGGACTGTTTTATCGCTCTCCCATGGCCCTCCCCTTCTTCTCCCCCTCTCTCCACCGGCTCTCTTTTCTCTCTGTTTCCTTATCTCTCCCAGGGTCTTTTAAAGATGTGTGTGTCTGAGTATGTGTGGGTGTTCATGTCTGAAAATGAGGAGGTGAATTCTTAAGAGCATAAAGGAATGTGAGCTGGAGACAAAATAAGTATTGTTTCGCGGAGAACATTTCATCTATACGAGCCAACTTTTCCTCCGTTTCGTAATATTTTTGGATTCAAAACTGTTCTGCACTGCTGGATATGACCCAGCAGACATTATCTGATAAAACTCTAATTTCTTCTGAATCCCTCAAGCACAAGTTTTCCAACTCAAAGATAAGAGTGTTGCTTTAAAAAAAAAATTAACCAGGTTTGGGGGTGTAGACACATGGTGATTGCAATCAGCTAATTAGCTTAGCTGATTTTTTAGAACATCTGTGATGGATTTACTATCACAACATCCTTTTATAAAGAGAATTAAAAAAAACAAAAGTCGTAATGAACGTTAAAAAGTGTGGACTACCACTTTGAAAATGTACTTTTTATTTAGCAGCTTCTGTGATTTTGCCTCTGTTATGTCTGCATGGGAATGCTACATTTTCATCAGAAACATTTTTTGTTGCCATGATTTATCAACATGATAAATGAAAAGCCATTGCATTCTCTGTCGCATCCCGCTGACTGCTGTCTTCAGTGGTTATGATGTAGCAATGTTATTTGTACTATGAATGGATTTGCATTAATTTTCACATTAGCACCATTGACTGAAAGTGATAAAAATGTTAGTATTGCCTTCCTCCATGTGACCTCTGTGTTTCTACTGCTGCCCCAGGCTATGGTGGAGACTGTGAATAATCTGCTGCAGCCACGAGCCCAGGCAGCGTGGAGAGAGCTGCCCACCAGCGAGCAACTGCACTCGGCCACTCTGCTTCTCGACACTGTGGAGACTGGGGCTTTTATGTTAGCTGACAACCTCCTCAAGACTGACACTGTGCAGGAGAGTAATGACAACATCCGTGAGTACATTTTATTTGGTTCCTTCCCGACCTCCAAAGTCAGTTGGACCCTGTAACTGTCAAGGAGCCTGTTGAGATGCCCTCAAGCAAGGCACTTAACCTCCATTTGCTCTGGTGAAGCTGCACAGTGGCCAAGTGTTGAAGGCTGTAGCTGCACTGGGCCTTTCTAATTGCAGAAGTACGAAGTGGCTCGGCTGGAACAACATTTTTTTTTACGTTTTGTTGACTTCACCTGAATACAGTGTAAAACAGGGAAGACTTTGTAGAACGTGCCCTTATTTTGGCAGAAATGTGGTTCTTAGATTTCACAGTTTTTACAGATCTTATAAGGACATAAACCAGCTCAGGCTTCTAAAGATCTAAGAATATGATGTAATATCCTAGTAACGGCAACGCTGACAGCAGGCATTACTGCACCCGCCGCCTCAGATCTATGCTTTATAATACAAACGAGAAACAAAGTATGCTATCTAACTTCAAAGTTTGTCAAAAAAAAACATCATCTTTCATGTGTGCAATTACACAAACGCACTCACACGCATTCTGTATGTGAATTGACATGAGTAGACGTGATTAGAAGTAGGGCGGAATAATGTTATTGAGATTAGTTTGTAGTTTGTGCGCATGAATCTGAGCTGCAAGGAGAACTTAACAGCACCAGCACCATACATATGACTAGGTAAACAACTGCCTGATTGCATGATAAATAAGTTACAGTGATAAAATCATAAAACAAAATAAAAAAGAAATAACATGGAATATTTTAATGCTGAAGCAGAGTTGACAGTAAAGTTGTTGGACAGATAGCCAATGATACCTTGGTGAAAACATGTTGCATTTTAAATAGATATAGAGTATTAAACAGCACTATAATACTCTACAGTATTATGTTATGTTTGTCATATTGTAAAAGAAAAAACACAGAGGGGTTGTGGAAGAATGCATTTATTGATGTTGGTCTTTAGTTTCATATGGCCTACATTAGGTTTTACTTAAGATTTTAAGATTTTTCTAAGAGGACTTTAAGTAATACAATTAAAGAATCCTAAGTGTAAAATAATATAATAATGTTTTTTGTGTGTGCTACTTGATGAAACACTTTGTTAAATAAATAATTTGTGTGCATGAATAAATACAACAGAAATCTGTTATCTCATAATAAACATTAAAGGCAATGCCGAAGATAATGCCACATAATGTTTTTGCACTGCAGCATGTGAGAGTACAAAAGGACCAGTGAAACAATTGAAATCAAAATTACATGATAAATAGTTGTAAGGGCAAATGGAATGAGTACATAACATAACTTACGCCTACTGTTACAACACGTAAAACTACTTATGTCAACAGAAACTATGTGCTGAAATATTATCAAAAGGTTTACCTGTTTGGCTCCATAAACATCCACATAGAAGCAAGAAAAAAGAAGAAATAAAATAATTCATAACTCAAATAAGTAAAGCTGTATTTGCATTTGCCAGAGATAATCAACTATTTATGCAAAAATCCCATATTTTGGCAACATGTACAATAGACTACATGTATGCAGAGTGGGCTTGTATAGCTGTCAAAAAGTGGTCATGATGAAGAGGTCCAGGTTGTTGTGTGGGAGCAGTTGAGGGGTCAAATCCACAGAGACTCATCCTCATTTAACAAAATGCCGGGAAAAAACTGCCCTTGAGGCCTGTAAGGCAAGGATGAATTGTTTTCCAGAGACAATAATTTTTATTTATTTATTTTTTTCCGTATTTTCTTCCCTCCACTTGTAGGCGAAACTGACAAAGCAGAACAAAGCTAGTTATCATGGCGTTGTGCACATCACTCTCCTCTCTTTCTTTCTCCTCCTTCCATCATCTCTTCTCATCTTCCCTCAGTGATCCCCTCATCATTGAGCCACAGAATAAGGCAGAAATACTGGAGAGTGAAAACCCTCTTTGCTTTTCATGCCTTTTGATGAGGATATATTTGTGAGCCATCGTTTCATCTCCTCCCCAGACCAGCAAGTTGCACTCACTTATGTTTCCCTTGATTATCCTCCTGTTTACTCCACTTTTGATTTGGTATTTCAAAATTTCCTAAACATCATCTCCCCATTAGTAGAATTCACTGGGCTTGTATGTTACTCAGTCAGAGATGAAAATTCATGGAGGAGGAGCAGAGGAGAAGAGAGAAAACAGAAGCTGATGAGTAAAGAGGAAGACTGGATGAGTGCATGCTTGAGGGTGATGGTAGTGGTAGAATGTCAAATGGTGCTCTGAGCTTGTTTCTTTTGCTCACTTTCACATCAGTTAGCAATGAAATCACAGCTATTTAAGTCATACGACTGCGGTGATAACATTACCTCGATTTCTCTTATCACAGACCGACAGTGGAGACAGATTCCACAAAGTCAGTCCACGCAATGTGACTTTATCTTGCTCTCGCTTGACTTTAAGTACAACCGGTAATTCCCAACAAGTGACATCCTACACAATTTCACGTTACATAATTTCCTACTTGTTTCTCCTCCGATTTTCTTCCTTCTGAACGCCGCACATAAATATGGTTACATAAACAGTTACTCTAGATGTAGGCTACCACATCTCTGAAGAAGTTAAAACAGGAAATAATTTTTTTTTTGTGGAAAATTTTGTCTCCGCAATCCTCTCCTTTTTTGTGCCGTTAATCTTCCCTCCCAGCTAATCCAGTGGGCAGATCCACCGTGATTATCTCTTCCCTTTATTCATAACCGGCCCCGATACCGCCTCTCATCTCTCGTTCTCCTCTTCCATCTTCACTCTTTCTCTCTCTCTCCGTCTCCTCCCTCTCTACTGTCCTACACTTTTTAACCCCCCCCCCCTTTTTCCCTCCAAGTCTTTTAGAGTAGAGTGAGCGAAAGGAATAAATTATTTGAATGCCGCATTTTAAAAAAGCCACTGCAGCTACTGTAGGTGATATTATTGTGTTAGAAAGTGTGTGTGTGTGTGTGTGTGTGTGCGACTATGCGGCGCAGTATTAGGCAGATGAATAAATAGTGTTATTATTAGAACCAAAACAGTGATTTGAAGGGATAACACAGCGGTAACAGCGTGTGTGTGTGATAACGATAATGAACAAGTGTGTTTCTTAGGAGGAGGATTGTCATGACAAGGATGCTTTAATTAGATTAGACTCAGCGTGTTTTGATACCCCGCCGCTTTGTGTGTGTGTGTGTGTTTGTGTGTGGGTGTGGATGTGTGTGTACATGTATGTGTGCATGTGTGTGGGTGCGTTTGTGTACATAGCTTGAATGTTTAGTTTTGGCAAGTGAGGAACACTTAACCAGTGTTTCTCTTTCCTTCTGCCAGTATTTGCATATCAGTGTCTGTGTTTATGTCTGCCTGCCTCACTCTGCTTCCATTTCCTCTCTCCCAGACCTTACTATCTCTTGCCTTTGTGCCCTATCTTTTGTACTCTAAGAGAGAACATAGGCTTCTCTCCACCTATCGCCACGCTGGTCCTCTCCTTTCGGCATATCTGCTCGTTTCCCATCTCTCATCCATTCTGCTCCTTTAACTACCCACTTTATTTTTTCTTTTACCTCTTTCCAACACTTCTCCCTGACCTCCTCAACTTCCTTTCCTTTCACCCTTCTCTCCCACTTCACCGACTCCTCCACTGTCATTTCCATTCGAGCATGTCCTTGTGTCGTTTATGTGATCAGGGAGCTGTTTTTTTTTACCATGAAAGCAGTGTCTAAATCACCAAATCACTCAGAAGCACAAGATAGCGATGCACCAAAGGTATAATTAGTCCTTAATTAGAAACTTTATCTAATACATTACACGGCCGTAGTCGGGAATGTGCTAACGAACCTGGATGGTGAAATTAGATTCCCACAATACAAGAGAGAGGCTGGATTATCTACCTCAATGTGTTGGACCAGTTGCCTGGAGACATTGTTGCCTTTTTTAGAATAAAAGTCCACATTATTTCTCTTTGATGCGTGTCAGTTTTTTTTTTGTTTAGAAGAAACTAGAAACTGCTTCAGGATTCATGCCAATGTTCTGCCGTGAAGCACTTAGTGAGAAAACATGGTTATTACAAGAGGTTGCAAAACAAACCTGCAATGCTATGACTTGACATTAGGGTGTGTATGTGTATGTGTGTGTGTTTGTGTGCGTGTATGTTCCAGAGCTGGAAGTGGCAAGGCTGAGCACGGATGGGAACCTAGCAGACCTGACATTCCCTCAGTCAGAACTACATGGAAACTCCATCCAGCTGTCAGCCAGCACTCTCAAACAGCACGGCAGAAACGGTAGAAGAGAAATCTCATATTCTCTCTTCCTCTCACTCTCACTATGAGGTCCATGACCCCTCTTCCTCTCTGTCTCTCTCTCTCCCTCACTTTCTCGCTGTCTAACCAACTTGCAATGTTTTTTTTCCCCCTCTTGCTCTTTCTCACACCCACAGTCTATTTTTGTCATCATGATTTAAGCCAACAATTATCAAGTGCGCCTCCTCAATGTTCCCATGTGTCTTCTTACAGGTGAGATCAGGATGGCCTTTGTCCTGTACAGGAACTTGGGTTTATACCTGTCCACAGAGAATGCGAGCGTGAGACTGAGCAGCGAGGCGGTTTACCCTAATTACTCTGTTATCGTCAACTCCCCGGTCATCACAGCATCCATTAACAAGGAGAGCAATAAGGTTTACCTGTCTGAGCCTGTGGTCTTCACCGTCAAACACCTGCAGGTAAGAAAGGTGCAAGGTGATGACTTCTTTTCTGTAAATAAAAGAATAACTTGCTGTGAGATAATGAGACAGAAATAGCGGTTAAAGGATTAAGCTGGTTTTATTTTATATATATATTTTATATATTTCTTACAAAAGATTAAACTAAAGCTTGAAATACTTAATTCCTCTGTGCCATAAACCTCCACTGTCATCCAAAAACACATAAATGAGCACATACTGTTGCACTGCGCTCTAATAAAGGAACATGGGCATTGTAATTTATTTTGACTCAACTGTATACATACCACTCTGGTGCTGTAACAGTTACTCCAGCACCCAATGTGTGTCCACAGCTGAAAATAGTTCACAGCAAAGGCACTATTTACTCCTCTTTGATTTTGTGACATTTGCTCAAATCTGCAGTGCCCAGCTGTTTTAGGAATTCATCCTTTCTTTTTGTTTTGTTTTTTTGAGTCACAAATATAGACTAGTCCAAACATGGACTAATGTAATGTTGGTTTTGGTCTTTTCATGGGGTTTGTTGACAAAAAATAAATATAGAATCACGGATGCCCTATTCTTTAATAGCAATTGTAATTGGTAATAACCAGAGCTGTAGACTCTAGATTAGAGAATGACAGACTCACAAATAATGTCTCATGTTTTGACCTGGTAAAAATAAGACAGGGACAGGCATACAGCTTCAATATCTAATTATTAAGCCTAAGAATTGAAAGTTCTTGGTCATAGTTCTGTAAAAAAAAAGTTAATTAACACAGCTTTTAGTAATTTCTGGTCATTGTTCAGAGATCTGAAAGTCTTGCAACTGGCTTGCAATTTGCTTATCAAGGCTTAATTGCTTTGACAAAACGTGACTCAATTGACTTGCCCCATATGACATCAGAACAGCTCTGGTATTAACAATAACTACAAACTGAATATAATTCCACATTGCATCACACTGTATGAATTCCCATGCTCAATGCAACACTTTTATGTTGTGTTGCTCATTCAGCAGGCAAATGCCGATCCAGTTGGTGATCCAGCTTGTTGGCAGCAAAAAGATCCTCACTGTCTCACTTGCTCATTTTGAGAGTAACTTTAAAAACCAAACACACACACAGCTCCATCAGTTTACACAACACGAGCAGCTCCTACACTCCAGAATCTCACACAAGCATGGACACAGCACTGTCACCTCCTGCCACCGCTCCATGTTTATTTGTTGCTGCACTCTCGCATTCTGTCCCTTCTGTTTGTTGTTTTGTTGTGTGTACTTGACTCCCTCTCTGTGTTTCTTCCTCTCCATCCTTTTCTCCACCAATTCCTCCCACCATTTTTCTCACTTTTTTTTTTGGCTCTCCCACCACTCCATGTTTCTGCCTCCCACCTCCCCATGACTAAGTATCTGTTCTGTCTTCCTGCTTCCCCCACCCCTCCTTCTTTTTGTCCCTCACTCTCTCTCAATTTCTTCCTCTTGGTCTCGGTTTCTCTCTCTCACTCACTCTCTCTCTCTCTCCTCCTTCCTCCTCCTCCCTTGCCCCCAGCATTCGGAAGAGAACTTCAATCCCAACTGTTCATTCTGGAGCTACTCCAAGCGCACCATGACGGGATTCTGGTCTACCCAGGACTGTCGTCTGCTGGCCACCAATCGCACACACACCAGCTGCTCCTGTACACACCTCACCAGCTTTGCAGTGCTCATGGCCCACGTGGAGGTCAAGGTAGGCATTTATTCTCACGAGCCTGCCAAGAGGGGGGTGGGCAAGATCAAATGGGTCAGTTGTTCATCATTTGATTAGCTGGGGCTGGCAAGGCTGGTCAACACATTCTAAAAAAGGGGGGAAGGAAGGGAGAGAAGGAAACCACAACATCTGGAAAATAGATTTTAACTCTCCAGAGTCTCCAGTACTGAGAAATCATACTTGGCAGGAGACATTTTGATTCGTCAAACTGGATGATGACATTGGGATGACAAAAAAATGCACACTTCAAACATTCAGTCTATAGAGATCTGGATGACCAAAACAGACTTTTTCATTTACTGTAGGAATTTACAGCAGACACAAAAGCTGTTGGTGTTATTGTAAAAATGACATTTGACTGATCAAAAAGTGTAAGTGTCTCATTTATTTTGATATCCATGGGCCACTGTGGGAGGTGGATAAAAACCTTATTGTCCCGCTGTGTGTGGGATAAGTACTTTTTGTCTCCCTCCTTTGTTACGTTAAGACCAAGTACCTTCTCACAAATCGGCTCTTGTTACTCTAGATATTGTGTGACACCCAGTCTCTCCCTCTGGGCCAGAGGATGTGTGTTACTTCTAAAAGGGTCATGGTCAGAGCTAGCTTGGCAGCCCTTTGTGAACACAGTGTGAGGGTTTGAGCAGTAGATCCATCACAGCAGTGCTATGTTGAACATTGCTCTGCCTGCCAGGTTGCAGGACACTGATGGATAGAGCCAGCACACCTGTGCAACGCAGCGTAACGCTGTGGCCCTGAACGCTCAGCGACACACAGCCAGACTCACATCAGTCAGGGAAGGGGGGTGGGGGTGTGTCTGCTCCTACAGTATGTTTCATGTTACAACAACATAACTCATGTATGTTTTTTAGCAAACAGAGGCTAAACATAGTAGCTGAAAATGCCTATTAAATTATCCATTCAAGCTTGTCTCTCTATTTCCACAGAAAGCAGACAGCATGCACGACCTGCTCCTAGACGTCATCACATGGGTGGGGATCCTATTGTCGCTGGTTTGCCTACTTATCTGCATCTTCACATTTTGCTTCTTCCGCGGTCTGCAAAGTGACCGCAATACCATCCACAAGAACCTCTGCATCAGCCTCTTCATCGCTGAGTCACTGTTCCTGGTTGGGATCAACAGAGCCGATCAACCGGTAAGAAGGGTTGGATTTTCTTCCTAAGTGTATGTGAGTGTGTGTGTGTGTGTGCAATATACACTATGTGAGCTAAATAATGCTAATAAAAACAAATATTTTGCACACAGGCTACATTTCAAAATGAGGCTTTTTATTCATGATGCGTTGGCACAAGCTTGGCATAACTGTCCACTGACCAATACCAGTAATCATACTGCACTGCTGGCAGAGTAAATTGTGAAATGTTTACTAACTTGCTGTCAGTGGTTGACCACATTGCCGCTACATGAATAAGAAACAGCAGATTTGGTACATGCAGTGTTCCCAGAATAAATCGAAAACAGAAGTTTCTCTGAGTGGCTGTTAAACAAACCATATCTGTGTATGCAAACCAGCCTGGATTATTCAGCTTTCTTCTCAGAAATCGCGAAAAGAAAAAAACAGCACACAGAGTTTACTGGCATTGTTTGTACGGCAAATGCTCAGCTTTCCATGATATCATTACTATACTGAGCACTACAACTGTCTGCAGATTAATTGCATTACATTTTGCAGATAATTCAGAAAGGATTGCCAACCAAGGCAGAAAAGGAGACATTAGATAGCATTAGTCTACTAGCATAGTTAGGTTTGTTATACTTCTTGAATGGCAAATTAACCTTAATATAATAAATACGTGCAGCACAAAAAAAACTAATTTGCCTGTTCTTTGGTCTCTTCCCAGTTGTAAGAGAAATGATTTACAATTCACAAAGTGCATGTTGCACAGTCTTGCTTATTGGCTAGATAATGTATTAAAGCTTATGTATTAGATTTGTTTTAGCTCAGCTGATGTTTATGCTATTCTTCAGTTGCTTTTCTTAGTCATTTCCCCCCTCAGGCTACAGTAGCTGCAGTATTTCTCTTCCCTCGCCAGGGAATCCTGTTGGTTGTGAGAAAGATGCTTAAAAAACAATGAAACCTTTACAAACAAATCCCATATCAGGCAGGATAGTGAATATGGGTTTAACCTGCATTTGACCATTTGTATTAAAGTGTTGTAAGGTTGTTTCATGCAAGACCCAAGTGTGGGCATATCTTAGCTGTAAAATTACCTTGTATAAATCCAGGCCTGTGTGGTTAACAGAATTGTGGACTTTTTCATGTTGCAGTACTTACTCTGGATATTGATAATGAAAGTGCTGGCAGAGTTGTGTGTGTGTGACACTTATTTGGTTTATTTGGTGTTCTTATAAAAAAGTTATCTGAGACTGAGAGGAGCAGATTTTATGTTTGTGTTGTAGAAGCTGCCAATATATAATGTAATAAGAATAAGTTTGCATGACTTCAGTTGTTACTATAGAAACACTTGATCATATTAAATATGATAATTACTTTATACAATGCCATGATGTAAGTGATTCATGAGCAGGGTTAGGCCAGGCCAAATGCATATTGACTTTCAGACAACCTTGGGGATTATTCTGGATCACTTCGTCAGTCGGAATTGGCTTTATGTCACTGTGACTTCAGATTCAGCTATACGTTTAAGCAAGAACTGTTCATGAATGCAGCATGCTCCACATCTCCACTGTCATAGCAGTTATTAGTGATGGTCAAAGCTGTCAAGGCCCTCTGCTAATATCAGTGATAACATCTTTATAGTAGCAGGTTGTCTGGCTCAAGTGGAATCTGGGTGGTTAACATGTTGTTCAATGTGATCCTAACAGTGTTGCTACTCTCTGCAGCCATTGAGACCTGTGCAAATAGGGCTAAAGTAACTTCACTAGTTATAACCTAATTGGTCATCTCCTTATTTTCCCTCCCACAACCCAGACACTGCCAGATTGGTGCTTTCTGTTGCAGTTAATGATGCTTGACCTCTGCTGCTCATGTGGAACTGTGCTCATCTTTTGCAACTCACAACTGTAAAGAAGGAAGAACCGTAACAAAATCAACAGCTAAATGGAAAAAGAGCTGTTATGAACAAACAAACCCACTTGTTAGCTAATTGCTTGAGGCGTTAGTTTGTTAGCAGGGATGAGTGAGTACACCATTATCTGTATCTCTATCTGTGATCTGAATGGGTGGGGCTTAAACTGGACATGGGCATGACTAACTGGAAGTTGTTGATTTAGGTTTGATATGGACATGGGTTGATCAGAAGTTTAGATTTATTGAAACTATAGTATTTACAGAAAAGCCTCATAATTGAGCTTCAGAGCAACGTTTTTATCATGAGTACCCGCTCAATCATACTCATTAGCTGGCTAACATTATCTTCGTGCATGTACTTGTGCGTAGGCATTGGTGGTTGGTTGAGCATAAAAATTGACACAAGCTAATAGATTAGATTATTTTGTTTCTTCTACTGTTTTATAGAAGAACAACACATGTGGAATACACCATTTTCAGTACAACAAATGCATCCATAACAAATTGTCCTGGTATAAATAGTGAAGGTTTTTAAAATCATCGAGCTACAACCAATGTCAAGCTCCATCCCTAATGTTTTACAATGCAGTTTTGGCTCAACCATCAGGGTCCACATGGTCTGCATTCCAATCACAACCCATTTTGTATAATCCATATAGTCCGCATTCAATACGTCAATCATGGATTAGGACTTTAAATCTCACCTGAATGCAAGCACTTACACAAAAATTGTATACGTCAGATTCTGTGTTAAGACATTCTCCTTTGATTCTACTGGGCAAGGTCACCCAAATACAATTAATATATACTGTAGGAACCTGTGATGTGTGCGAGTGGTGTCAGAGTACTGTACGCAGTCTCGGACATTGTAACACCTTAGTGCTAGGTAGGCTATGTTTTCTTTGTCTGTGAGCTGTTCGAATCATTAGGAAGTGTAGGTCTGTGGGGGAGGAAGTGCTCGGGGCTGTAACCTTTATCTCCTCCATCGTATTCAAGGAACCTTAGAGCAGCCTCGGGCCTTTGCATCCCGCCGAGCGTTTAATGAGAAAACATTCTTATTGCAAATGAAGAGACAAAACTAATTTGATTGAAGGTGTTTTGACCTTGAGGTTTGTGCGTTTTTCTTTTTGTCTGCAGGCCTATGTGTGTTTGTGTGGGAGGGGATCATGTTTCTTTGTATGTATGTGCGCCACTGTATTTGTGTGTGCCATCTCCTGTTAATTACTGGTGACTATTTGTGACCTCCATTAACATCCTCAGCGTCACTTAGCTCGCAGCCGGTTAAGCCAGTAATTCCAGCAGGGAAACTAAATGACTTTGCATAAGCAGCCACTTTTTTTTTTTTTTTTT